TAGGCTTCCAGGGAAAAGTCTTCTCCCTTGCCCTAGTCAGGCCAACATCCTCCCCCAGTCCCAACAAATCTCACCACAGCATCCATTGTCCCTGGTGGCCCATCCCAACAGACTCATCACACAGCCCAACTCAGGCCCCATTCATGCATGCTGCATTCCTAGCTGAAATTGGCTGTAGTGAGGCTCCAGTGACCTCATCTTTGGACTCCTACTTCTTTAGTTGGTATTCGGTCATTCTCTAAAAGGTTGAGGTCCTCTTCCCTATTGGACTGTAAGGTCCCTGTGGCTGAGATCATCGCCTGGATTTCTATGTATCTAGCAGAGGACAAGGTACCTAGTAGGTGGTAAATATTTAATTGCTCTGCTGAACATTGATTTGGTTTTGTAGATTTATAAAGAATTAGAAACTGTCTTCTGAAATAAGTGTGGGAGAATACCTTTTGTGTCTATCTAATGAGGTTTCCTCCTAGCAGAGGAATTATAACAAGGGTCCAGTTTTTGTTTTTGGTACCAAGCATTGAACCCAGGAGCACTTGACCACTGAGCCACATCCCTAGCACCATTCTCTTTTTTTGTATTTTTATTTAGAGACAGGTTCTCACTGAGTTGCTTAGTGCCTCGCCTTTGCTGAGGCTGGCTTTGAACTTGCCATCCTCCTACCTCAGCCTCCAGAGCAGCTGGGATTACAGGTGTGCCCACAGTGCCCGGCAAGGGTCCAGTTTTCTCTTGTTTTGGAAGCCCACCTGGATTCCCTCATGCAACAGATTTTTCACTTACACAGTCAGTCTGCAGGGCAGGAGTCCTACTGGCACATCCTGACAACCTCTCCTCTCCAGCTCCTCCTCACCTCCCAGGCTTCACACTTTCTTCAGCCCTAAGTTATACCCCTAGCCCCACACTTTCCTTTACCACAACCTCCTCAAGGGGGCTCTGGCACCCCCACCCCAACCACTCTTCACTCCCTGCCTGCCCCTCCTTCTCTAAATGACCTTCATTTCAGCCTCCATCTTCCTTCTTGGTTCTCACCTCCCTCCCTTCTCAGACTCCAACCTTCTCCTGCTTCCAGAACCCAGCTTTGCCCTGCTTGTAATCTCTTGTCAATTGCTGGCCCTATCCCAGCTTCATCTATTGCCACCTAGTCCCTGGCTCAATTCTCCCAAGACTGGCCTGTCTCTGCCTGGTTCCCACTCCTCCTGATGCTACTGTTGGCTGTTCCCTGGGGACCTGGGACCCAGCTGGGGCCATCTCTCTGCCCTTCCAGCTTATTCCAGCTCACTCTGGGAGGAGTGAGGGAAGGCTAAATCCTTTTACTCCCACCATTTCTCGTGTGACTCACTTTAAAGAAAATTGTTAAATAGTAACTCATGCAGGTGACACTCAGCTGTGACAGAAGCACTATAGCTTCACAGTTGGCCACATTTGGGAGGGAAATGCTCTGGGTCCTGAATCCTGCTGATCTCACCTCCTGGCTATGTGGTTTGGGGCTAGTTAATGAATGGTCCCTGCAACTTACTGTAAAATGAGGATGGTAACACCTCAGAGAGCTTGCCGTAGGACTAAATAGGTCCTTGTCACCATGTAAGAGCCCCCAAAATGTTGGGGTTTGTTCATTTACAAAGTCTTCCAATGAGGTAATTCATTCAACAAACAAAACCCCAAAGCACTAATGACTATGTAAATAATATTAAGCTGTCATCATTGTACACTCTCAGGATCCCTCTGCCCACCTGCTGAAACAGAGAAATACAGTGAGGGGAGTTGGGAATTTTTGAACCATGCCTCCATATATGTCAAGTAATTGTCATAACATCATTTAAAATAGAGAAAGAAAAAGAAGTTCCCTCAACAATGTGTTTAGGCCCACTCACAATTTGTGGTGGGACAGGGACTCAGGGCTCAGACTGGAGTCGGCTTCCGAAGAAGGACACTTGCAGATTTTCATCCCTGAAGTCCCAGATGCAGGGAGCCAGGAAAGGAGGAACCCTCGGCACCCCTCTAACTTCTTTCTGCACCCAGACCCTCACATATCCCTGTCCCCAGCCGGGTCCTAAACTGGCTCCCTGAGTCAGCAAGCCCAGGGAATGTGCCGATCTGTGGCCCCGGCAGGGTTAACTCAGTGGTCAAGATCACTTGACCCGACTCACCCATGTCGTAAAATGGCAGTGAATAGCTTCTCTGGTAAGTGGTTTCCTTATACCACGAGTTGACAGGCTTCGAACGACTTTTAAAACGAATATATCGAATGAGCATTTGTTGGTCTAATTGAGGCTGATGCGGAGTTTTTCTCTCGGTTGGAATTGCCAAGTCTATGAGTGGTCTAAATGTAAAGAGAAATAGTTGATGAGTACCCACTGGAAGAAAAGAGGTCCATTTTCTCATCAGCCACAGCCCACTCCCTGGAAGTGATGCTGGGCCTGCCAAAATTGCAAGAGATAGTGCAGGGCTTTCAGTTTCCCTTTAAGCATCCTTCCTTCTCCTCCTCCCCAAGGAAAGATCACAGAAAGCAACCTGCATCAAAACCTCCACTGACTCCGCCCACCCACAGCTGTGTCCTGTGGGCCAGATCGCCCCCTGCCCACTCTACCTTTGCCCATTATAATTTTTCTATGCATGTTTGAGTCCTTCAAGAAACCAATGCATTCTTTTAGGTGGATCAGCACTGTGGTGCTTCTTGGTGTTTAATAGGCCTCAAATTAATCACAACCTTCTTGTACCTCTATTATAAACACTCTCCAAAGTAAAAAGTAAACAATAATCAAAATGTAATGGGAAAATACCTTCGGGTACCCTCATGGGAATCTTCATTATCAGTACAGTATTTCAGATATGAATGTAAGTATACATTCACCTACAACTTTGGTGATACGTATTAAGACCTTGAAAATAAACGTATATTTTGTCTCAACAATTCTAGCAATTAGGAATGTTAACAAAGACTTAGTTCTAAGAATGCTTACAAAGTGTTTTTATGATGATAGAGAGAGGAGAACTTTCAGGTGGAAAAAAAAAAAAGGAATCAGCTGAAGGGATAGAGGTGCCAATCACCCTGATCTGACCATCACACGTTGTAGACATGTATTGAAATATCACACTGTTCCCATAAACATGTACGACTACTGTCAATTACAAATGAGGATATATTTTTAAAAAGAAAAATAGGGAATTATTTAGTCACTAAGATAGATATATATAGAGAATGCCATACCACCATGAAAACTAATGCAGTAGAATTATAATTTTGAGATGGAAAACGTCCACAATATATTATTAAATTTAAACAAAGGTTTTGATTTGAGTTATGCATTTTAAATGGATGAGTTGTATGGCATATAAATTACTCCAATAAAGCTATTATCAAAGAAAAAAAGGTTCCACAATACCATTCCCAACTGTATCTCATCCTATTTTGGTGTGGATCTGCATGATTAGCTCTGGGTGATACCATTATTGGTAATTTTCAATTTTTTATTATCAATGTCTTCCTCTTCCTCCTCCTCCTTCTTTTTTATTTTTGAGTATTGAATCCAGAGGTGCTTTACCACTGAGCTACATAGCCAATCTGTTTTATTTTTTATTTTGAGTCAGGATCTTGCTAAATTGCTGAGGCTGGCCTTGAACTTGGAATCCTCCTGCCTCAGCTTCCTGAGACACTGAAATTACAAGTGTGTACCACACAGACAGCTTACCATCAGTATCTTTTAAATATTCTATTAAATATTTTTTTGTGTATGTGTATATGTGTGTGTGTGTGTGTGTATGTGTGTGTGTGTGTGTGTATGATTCTAGGGATTGAACCCTGGGGGCTCACTCATGTAGATAAGTGCCCTACCACTAAAGTACATGTCTAGCTCTTTTTAAATTTTACTTTGAGACAAGGTCTTGCTAAGTTGCCCAGGCTGGTCTTGAACTTGCAATGCTCCTGCCTCAGCCTCTTAAGTAACTGAAATTGTTAGGTGTGCATCATCACTGTGCCAGGCACACACACACACACACACACACACACACACACACCATATATATAATTTATATGATATATTATAGTATATATTTATATATGCTAAAAATAAGTGAGGTGTGCTGCTATAGATGTAAAAGTATTAAATGTTGACTGTTATTTTGGAACATCTAAATTCAATCAGGGTTGAGTAGGATAGTCTTATATCATTTACTGATGATACGTATTAAGATACGTATGATACGTATGATATATTTACTGTGACCACATCATACAAAGAGGTGATCAAAACTACTCAATAATAATAAAAATGTTGGGGTTCAGAAGGTGTAGGTCAGTGGTAACACTTGCCTAGTATGCATGAGGCCCTGGCTTCCATCCTCAGCATAAAAACAAAAAATTCATAATCTTTTCCTGATTGTGTAAAAACTTGATTGCAAGGTGGAAATGGAGTGACGCTGTCTGAAGTTTAAAAAAGGCAACAGTAAGAATCTCACCGTGCCGTGGGAGACATGTTGAATGGGTGAGAGTGATCTATTGTGGATGAGCCTGGAGAAGCATCAGGAACACCCACCCACCTCTACTTATTCTTCTTTCATGTTTAATAGGTATTTGGCCTTGTAAAGTGGGTGTTTTAAGTGGTGGATGGTAGTACTCCTTTTCCTATGGAATGAGTCTCCTGCTGTCCTTGCTGTCAATGAGAACATTAGCTGTCTGGTGACTCTATCAGTTTCCTGTGAGCTTGGGTTCTGTGTGACCATTGCTGTCAGACTGGTCACTTCTGTGCCACTGGGGGTTCTGATCCTTGGGACCACCCCCTAGATCTACTCCTGATGAACTGCCAGCTTGCCTCTACCTTCATCTGGAGCCTTTCTCAAGAATTAGAACATTCTACCTTTTCAAATAACACAACAGCACCCTTCTGACTTTCACTCAAAGGACTGTAATCTAAAACGCCAGTTGGTGGAGGAAGATATTTGGGGAAGGTAAGCCATTAGACAACTATCAAGTGACACCACAATTACAATAACTAGATTTAAAATACTTGCTTCAGGCAGCACATATACAACAATTGGAAATGACACAAAGAAGTAAAGCATGGCTCCTGTGCATAGACTGACCTGCCAATTCATGAAACAGTCCATTCTATTTTCCATTCTATTTTTAGGATTTTTTTCACCTTGGAACAAAATTGGACATGAATAATAACTTTCTTTTTTTAAAATTTTATTTTTTTAATTTATTTTAATTAGTTACACATGACTGTACAATGATCTTGACATATCATACATTTGAATCAGATGGGGTATAATTTCTCATTTTTCTGTGTACAGGTTGCAGAATCACATTGGTCATGCAGTCACGTATATACCCACAGCAATAATAATGTCTATTTTATTCTGCTGCCCTTCCTATCCCCCTTCCCCTCTAACTTTCTTGTTTTAAAAATCCCCCTCCTCCACATCCCCCCTCCAAAATGCACCTAAGAATGGTCTTAAGAACCACAGTATTTCCTGTTTTGGTAGCATTTTGTGTAGATTTTTACTTTTTATTTTTATTCTTAACAAACTCTTTCATCTTAACCCTGAACTTTGGCAGGCACAAGTCTTGTTAAGAGCCAAGTAAAATCAGGTTCCTTTAATAGAGCCATGCTGATGTTTGGGCATCAGTCAGCCGGGTTTTGGTGGTGGTGGTGAGGTGGTGAGCAGAGTAAGGACATTGTCAGATTGCACAAAGAACAAACTCAGAGGGTGCCTCTGCGCCTTGCACAGCTCTGGCTCTGGGTCCTGCCTGTTTCCCTTCTTGTCAGTACCCTAGTAGAGGATGTCGCTGTAATGAGTGTACTAAGCCAGGCAGGGTGGCATGCCTGTAACCGAAGCTACTTGGGAAGCAAAGGCAGAAGGATCCCTTGAGCCCAGGAGTTCAAGGCCATCCTCAGCAACATGGTGAGTCCCTGTCTCAAAAAACAAAACAAAACAAAACAATAACAGAAAACAAAAGTACAGTTGACTATAATTATATGAGTTAGAACTAAGAGCCTTCAACTGGGAATGGGAAAATAGGGGTAAATTTAAGTTTAACTTTGTACTGTGTGACCTCAGGCAAGATATCACTTCTCTTGCTATTTTTCATTCATCTGATTGGACCAGGATGACCTCAAAGTTACTTCCAGTTTGATCATATAAGTATAGACTATGTGCTGCTCCAAAGTATGGGTGCCATGGCTCTTTTCTCTCTGCATGGAAAATAACTGGGGTTTGGCTACACCAAAGTCAACTGGGAGAGGAGAAATCTGTAACATATACTAGATGATGAACTTGGGGTAATAGTAATTGTATGTTGAGTGCTTAATGTGTTATGGAATTTTATATCCATTATTTTATTTAGCAGATTAAGGCAGTTAATACTGAGAAGGAATGAAGATTGCCTAAGATCAAACAGTTCATAAGTTACTCAAATTGCTGCCTTTATAGTTTCCTGATTCCCTAAGCTGAGAGAGAGAGAGAGAGAGAGAGAGAGAGAGAATCAAAGTACCTTTGATTTTAGTTTTTTCTTTTTATGAAAACCAGACCTAGAAGGGTAGAAAACATTTAGGCCAAATTTGTAACTTTACTGAGAAAGAAACTGAATCTCAGTAAGTTTCAGTTATTTGGCCAATTGGAAATCCTAAAGATATGGGATTTTAAATAATGATTTAATAAAATTCTTTGTTTATTGTTGATTGTAAAAACAACGTGTGGTCATTAGAAAAAACACTGAAAGCTGGATGTGGTGGCACATGCTTGTTTTCCCAGAGACTTAGGAGGCTGAGGCAGGAGGATCATGAGTTCAAAGCCAGCCTTAGCAATTTTGAGACCGTGTCTCAAAGTAAAAAATAAAAAGCGCTGGGGTGCAGTGCACTGATAAAGTGCCACAAGTAACCTCCCCACTACACACACAAAAATCAAAAAAATAAAAATAAAAGAAATAAAAAATTTGGAAAATAGAAAAAGATTAAAAAGTAAAATAAAAAATACTATTGATCTTACCACTGATTTAAAAAGACATTATTGGGTCTAGAGAGTGTAGCTCAGTAATAGAGCTCATATTAGCATGAGTGAGGCCTTGGGTTTGATGATCCCCAGTGTAAAAAGAAAGAAAAGATCTCCCCACCCACTCCCAACAACAACAAAACCCCACTTTTAAAAAAATATTTATTTATTTTAAAGTTGTAGGTGGACACAATATCTTTATTTTACATTTATGTGGTGCTGAGGATTGAACCCAGTGCCTCGTGCATGCTAGGGGAGCGCTCTACCACTGAATCACAATCCCAGCCCCAAAACCCATCTTTTTTGATAGTTGGTGTATTTCCTTTTAAATCTTTTCTATCATGAAGTAATACTTGTTATTATTGTTACCATTATTAAGAGATTATGTCACCCATAAAAATCATTTTAGCTTTGGTGACATTCTTGGAAATTAATACTTAGGATGTGTCTCACCTGGGTGTTTTCTTCACACTATCATCATAATGAACTCTTGCCAGTTGCCCATGGTAGTAGCCTCGGAGATCCTTTCCTCTGTGAACAATGAAGTTACTATGGAGAAGGAAAAGAGTTGATTTTTAAAAAGCAATTGTTACAATTACTTCTTTAAAAGAAGAACATTGGCAGTTATATGATAGAAATACATTTGGATTTGGTCCCCTGTTCCTGGCAACTAAAACCTGCAAAATTTCCTGACAGTGTCTGACATAACGAACTCCTTCCACCATACCTGAGTTCATGGCACCTGCAGGCCTCCCTCCCCCTCGCCACAACCTCCAGGAGCAGTTAAAAAAAAAAGTGCAATTTATTTTCAGGATTCATAAGGAAATACTTCAGATGTCAGGTATTAGGTTCAAAATATTAGGAAAAAAGAAAAGGATATATAAAATATGTAGAACAAATGTAGATAATTATAGAAATAAGGAAACGAGTAAGTGGGACTCATACTATTTTTTCTACTTTTGATAAATTTGTATATTTTCCTAAGTTAAAAAAATTAATAAAGGAGCTATAAATAGAGCAGCACTGTGACATCAAAGCATGAGGTGCTCATAAGCCTGGATGAGGGACTCTACCCCACCTGGGGGCACTTGTTGTGGAGGAAGTTTTGAAACATAAACATGAGCCAATGGGGTGAGGGCTGGGGGGGAGTGTGAACATGAGATGATTTTGCCAACCAGAATATAGTGATGCTGCGGTTTGGATGTTAAATGTTCCCCAAAGGTCCATGGATTAAAGGCTTGGTCTCCAGGAGGTGAGGTCCCTAGATTATGGGAAGTGTGACCTCAAAAGGAATTGTGGAACCCCATTCTCCTTCCTTTCTCCTCTCTTTTGCTTCCTAGCCATGAGGTGAGCAGTTTGCTGCACTACACACTCCTTTTCCATTACTATCTGGTATGCCTACCAGAGGCCAAAAGCAACAGGTCTGCCCCATGTTAGACTGGACCCTCCAAAACAATGAGCTAAAATTTTTTCTTTATAAATTAGTTATCTCAATTGTTTTGTTATAGTAACAGAAAGCTGACTAATACAAGTGGTGTCAGGGAAGACTAGGCTAGAGGGTCATGGTGCTCAGGTTTATATTCTGAAATACATCTTATTTTATAATAAATTACATTTCCTTTTATTTTATAGTTACAATACTATATTGATATTTTAAAATTATGTGTAGGTGCATTATATTATTAATGGATTTTATTTCAAAAATATACCAGAGACATTGCAAAATATTTGTTATAAAAAGACAGTGTTGTCCCAATTATTTTTCCGATTGAAATTTCTTCAACCAGTGTGAAGAAAACTTCTTCACCAACTCTTTATTGTGCAGAGTTGAATTATAGAAGCAACATTCAAGACAGCATTTTCTTTTTTTAATTAAATAATTAATTTATTTTACAATAGAATTCATTTTGACATATTGTACACAAGTGGAGCACAATTTCTCATTCCTCTGGTTGTACATGGTGCAGAGTCACTCCAGTAGTATAAATATACATGTATATTGGATAATAATGCCTGTCTCAATTCTGTTGTCCGTCTCATCCCCACAATCCCGCCCCTCCCCTACTCCCCTCTACACAAATCAAAGTTCCTTCATTCTTCCCTATCCCCACCCCCCACCCCTCTATGGATCAGCATCCACTTATCAGAAAAAACATTCAGCTTTTGGTTTGGGGGGATTGGCTTATTTCACTTAGCATGATATTCTCTAGTTCCATTCATTTACCTGCACATGCCATAATTTCATTGTTCTTTGAGGCTGAGTAATATTCCATTGTGTGTATGTACCACATTTTCTTTATCCATTAATCTCTTGAAGGGCATCTAAGTTGATTACATAGTTTAACTATTGTAAATTAAGCTACTGTAAACATTGATGTGGCTGTGCCATTGTAGTATGCTGATTTTAAGTCCTTTGGATATAAACCAAGGAGTGGGATAGTTGGGTCAAATGGTGGATCCATTCCAAGTTTTCTGAGTGGTTGCACCAATTTGCAGTCCCATCAACAATGTATGAATATACCTTTTCCCCTACATCCTTGACAGCACTTATTATTGCTTGTATTCTTGATAAATGCCATTATGATTAGAGTTAGATAAAATCTTAGAGTAGTTTTGATCTGCATTTCTGTAATTTCTAGAGATAATGAACATTTTTTCATGTTTGTTGATCAGTTGTATTTCTTCTTCTGTGAGTGTCTGTTCAGTTTCTTAGCCCATTTGTTGATTGGGTTATTTGTTTAAGTTAAGTGTTAAGTTTTTTGAGTTCTTTATATATCCTGGAGATTAGTGCTCAAGACAGCATTTTCAATACTGAATAAACTTGTTTTCAAAGAAAGTAAGTATTGTATCTGAAAGTTTGAGAATCACCTGATGTCAAGAGTTTTTTGTAATATTTTTAAAAAGATTAATGACACGATACAGAAAGATTTTCTCTGATGGCAGTGGTACTAACAAATTGAGAATGCTTGGAAGTGAAGGCAATCTGGCTGTGACATCTGTCATCCCATTGATTGCCAGGGTTGATTCACATGATCTGGCTAGCTAAGTGGGTGTCCCCTTCCTCCCTCACCTCTCCATGTGTGCCCCTCTTGAAGCAGTGTACTCAAAGAGGAGGACCT